TTGCTAAATTACGCTTAGTTACTCCATTATTTCTATTATTCGTGGTAGCATTTATATCATTATTGCGTCATGTTTTTAATCATAAATTATTTATCTTTCCTAAGATTTATATGATCATTGAAAAAACCATTGAGCTCTTGATGCGCTTGACAATAAAATTGTCATTACTATTAATTAATAGATACATTGTAGAATTTCAAGTGAAGTTTGTATTTAATTGTTTTGCTCATCTGGATTACATTACCAACATTTTTCTTCTTCTAAAAATCAAAATGAACTGCCAGAGCTAGCGATGGTGTCTGTTTACCTTCTGGAAAGATAAGTCTATTTCATATCCTGGTCTTAAACGTGTTTTATGAATAAAAATGCAATGTAAATAACACCATGTACGTTGTATAAAAACTAAGTTACAAAAAGCTTCCATTTTATGATGATAACAGCCTCAAGAAAATGTAATTAACGCGGCCGCTTCCTTTGAAGTTCAATGACTGAGAACGGACATATACACTACTGCACGCTCCACGCCCTAGTTCCAGAGACATTATCTGCCTTTTGGTCACCGCGGATCTGAAATAAAATAACTAAAATGCTAACAAACACCGGAAATAATCTAAAAAATGTTCTGATATTTGAAATTACGCGAAATCCTTTGGGGTATTTGCGATGACCAAAAAGATTGCAGGCTCCTGGCAAATGATTATTATCAGGTTTAACAGCACGATTACTATTCTGTTACTCAGACCCTCTCCAGTAAACCCTTAACCGCCACTGATGCATGGTATAGGAGATTTTTCCAATGGGTGTAATATATTCAAATGGCGTATGGTCTGTTTTGATTGGTAGTTGAGGACGAAAAACCGAAGTGACGTAAGATGTGTTTTCACCAACCAAGTATCCTCCCAATCCCTCTCTTAACAGTCAAGTTTTGGCGGGGACTGGGAAACATTCTTTGAACTATCTCAGTGAAGACTCGTAACCTTCTGGTTTCTGAATATGCGCTAATATGAAATAAAACACGTGACTGTGTTAATTTGTTTGTAATGAAACTTGAAAGTGATTGATTTGGTCATTTTTTCTTCTTATGCAAGCATTACTGATTGCGGTTTACGATGAATGTGAATTGGTGAAGTCGTATTGGACCGTATACCTAACACGCATCCACTAATAAGCATGACATGTATATAATATACACATTCCCTAGTTAGGCAAAATATAATCCATGATCGTAATTCAATCAAGACTAAGAGGGCACTTTTTCTAAACTAGTTCTACCAGATATTTGTAAGATGACGTTTATCGTAAACGAAATAGACCCCCTCACTCGCGGTAACTAACACTGGTGAATACTAGTATTAAAAGTGCTTATAGCATGCAGACTGCACGGGGCGTTAGTAAAAGAGAAGACAAAGGTCCTACAATAATCATGACATAGAAATTACTTGTTTCCTTTGTTAGTCGAGTATTTTGTAAACAGCAATGAGAGTCCTGCGCGCAATCGAAAAGAAAATCCTCACGACTATATATAATCAAATATTTACTTTAAAATAAAATAAAAAACAGTTTATGCTTCCCAACTGAAAAAATTCCCAAAATAAAGAATGGTGACAATGTTTGGTTGGGGGATATTCTAATATCACACATTAAATCTTTCAAGAATCATGATCCAACTCAAGTGTCATACCTTGGATATACTTCAAATTGGTTCAGAATAAAGATCTATTCCAGATACATCCTTGTGTTTCTACTACAGTAGAAAATACACATTGACTCACCTTTCTGATCCACGGTTACTGGGTTTGTCTTGAGAGGATACCAGATAGCACTGTCACTTCTAGAAAAGAAAAGAAAAATGATTGCGCGAGGACGACGCCCTGCGACTTCTCCTGACAGGAATAACTTGACTTATTTAAGTTGCCTGAAAGCAATCAACATTTTATTGCTTTCGATGAATGAATGAGATATGCTCCGTGGAGCCCGACAAAAACAATTAAGAAAGATCTAATAGCAAACATGAAACGCCTTTTTGATTTATTATAATGTTATTGTTGATGATGTTTTGATGTTTCATCAAATCTCGTCCAAGATCTCTTTGAACTTTAACTAAGCTCGCTGTAGGGGACGAGCCATTAAAAAAAATATTGATCTATTGGTTGATACCCCATGTGGGACCTTCCAACCTTTCTCCACATGCTGCGGTAGGCCTTTAGCTAATCCAATTTGTTCATTCATTTGTTCATCGCCATTGGTGCTAAAGTGTTGCTAAGAGGATATAATTGATCCCTATTTTTCTCATAATAGAAAATATATTAATCCGGAAGCGAAAGAGTGGTTTCCTTAAATATCTCAAAGGAAATTGCTTTTTCGCTAACACCTGCCGAGACAAAACATTTAGTTTATTGGATTCGATAAATTGGCTGGATTTCAATTGATTCCCTTGTTATACGTGAGATAAGACTGTTTGGTACTTGATTAATACTGTTAAGCTAATGAACTACAAAAAGAATTTGGCATTCTTCTATAAAAACATCTTTTTATTTCTGGATTAAATTCTATTACTGGGAGGATTTATTCATTTTCTTGAATAGGAATTATATCAAATATCTAAAGGCTCTATATAGTATAAAAGCACGGGCGGGATCAGCCGAGACTCTATCTATAAATGTTACGTACTTCCTGCCAGTGACTGCAAGCCGCTTTCAAGTGTATACACATATTTCAAAAAACGTTGTCGGTCGGAGATTTGAAATTTGAGAATGAAAGGAATTGTGGGTTGTAAGCTGTAAATTTTTTGTGGTTTTATTAGAAGCTCGCAAAAAGTTAATATCTTGATATACTAACTTTGAGCGACGACCTGCGCTGGCAAACTATGCGGGTGAGTGTATATTGAATTTTTAACGAGAATTACCACAATTCTAGCCTCCTTTGCAGCCGTTCTTAGGTTAGTCACGCAAAGTTTCCACGTTGCGTGACGACCCTAAGAACGGCTGCAAAGGAGGCTACCACAATTCCAATCGGTCCAAGATTTCTGATTTCAGATATCCAACCGACAACGTTTTTTGAAATAGGTGTCTATTATGGTATACATCAATTGTGATCTATTCCTATCTTAATACCAGATTGGGTTTATTCGTTTACTATTTCATTTTTATTCAAAAATCTTTGGCTGGTGGGCACAAATAACATTTCAAGTGTATTTAGGTCTCTTTAATCCTTAAAGGCATCGATTTGTATGGCAGAAGTTTTCTAGTAGTAAAGGCCGTTAATATATAAATTCCTTTAGAATCAGTTTCTTAAACATTATAAATAAAAATATCAGCAGAACGTGCATCTATGACCAGGACGTCAATACTGGTCAGCGGTGTGACATCATCAACACGTCATTAAACACCAATTGCTAATATTAACGTGTAGTTTAAATATGTCTTTTCGTAATTTGCGTTTCACTGAAAAACGCCGATCGTCGGCTACTGATCGGAGAACAAGTGTTGTGTATAGAATTAACAATAAACACCCAAGCGATAGACATCTAGAGGGATCAATAAAGATTAGTTTGTATCCTGTAAAGCGGTTCAATGTTCTCTTAATAATAATAACACACGCAGCATGTGGTGCAGTTTTTTCCTTCATTGTAAATGGGACAAATGAATGGATGCCGCAATAAGCCAAAATATAAATAACACTAAGAATAAGTTCAGAAATCCGCATTTCAGCTTAGCCGGGTTTATTTTTGTTGTTGTCATTGTAAGACAACAAAAGCTTTCATCCATAGCATATCCTCTTCGTGGGCCAATCACACTGATCGATACATTGTTACTGTTTTGATTTCAAAGCGCAGTGGGATATTGTCGATACACATCAAATTAAAAGCGTGCACTGTCAATTGGTTTACAGAATTAATCACCGACTTTCCTTATTCTTAATAAATAACATTCACAAAATGTTTTAATTTTATTAACCAAGGAAAGAGAACATGCTACTAAATCAATAAGGACGAAAGAGTTACAAAGATACCAAAATATTGGCTCTCTAAGTCTAGGAGAGTACAGAATACTGAAGAAAACTAAAGAAAAAATGAAATAAAAAGATAGTGAATGACAGACGATACTGATATCCATTTTGTTTGAAGGCAAAAAGCTTTTTCAATTTAAAAACCATGTGGTTCTTGAGTTCTTTGTAAATATATCTAAGGATTTGAAGTTAAGAACCATGTTTTGTAGGATCTGTACACCATCTGCAAACACAAAGATGTACGTGTGGGTTTTATCTAAAGTAAATTTACACAGTAACGTAAAGAACTGACAGCTTTTACTCTACAGAAAATGATTTGGTCTAACTAATTAGAGGCTATAATTTAAAGTGAATTGCACTTTAGATTCCCAATGGTATCTTTGAATCTAGATGGTGACAAATTGTACCAGTTTCAAGACAGCTGGGTTCCGAGAGAATATAAATATAATGAATAATGGCGCAGAAATCCTGCTGTAAGTTGAGCCGAGACTGAAATTGCTGCTTCACCCGCTATACTCGAACAAAACAAAGGTGATAGAGTAGGAAAGGAAGGAAAAGAAAAGAACGAGAAACGAGAAAACAGACTTCAAAAGATAATTTAAAGAAACAGGAGAGTGAATGATTCTGTAACAACGAGAAAAAGAAAAAAAATCTTTATGCCCAATATGAACAATGAGATCCATTAAGACATACACTTAGAGAATATTACATCCTAAATTGTGTTTGAAATCAATTTTGTGTGTAATTGGTCTTTCACTAATGTTGTACAACCACTCTACTCCAAATTGCTGTCATCTTGTCCATCCTCGCACCCTGTCGCATCTGCTCACCATAACTTTTCTACCAACGTATTGAGATGAGTTCTTCACTGCTTATATATTGATTCATTATTTCTTTTACCAAGCCATTTCTGATCGATATCATTTCTTGTACCTTGTATCTATAGGTGAGACTCATTGACAAAGCTTGACGCCCGAAAAGGAAACAGTCAAAACTAGTGTTGACACAAACATCAAACCGTCAACTTTTTTTCTTCTCACCTAAATGGAACATGTAGATCAAAGGGTATCAAGAAAGTGATTTCTAAACCTGTTTGGAAATTACTGAGTGCAAAGCTGCAGACGTCGATGCCAAGAGGTGGTCTTCAGTTGTACCTCAGGCCAGACATTAGCCCAACGGTTTAACAAAAGACCAAGAAAAACTGAACTGGACCCTGGAAAGAAGAGTAACCATTCTTGGTCAAACTGTAAGAGACTTCCTATACATCAATTAGATTAGAAAAAAAGAAAGAACGAAGATGAATAACACCACCAACACAACTGGAAGCCCAGAAGAACAAACTATGGACCAAGCACAAAAGATGTTCAAGATTGTATTCTACATTGTACTATTTATAGTTGGCACAGTTGGTAACATTCTAGTGGTGATTATTATTAGAAACAAGCGACGAAGAACTGTAAATGACTGCTTTATTCTTAATTTGGCCATATCAGACCTAACTTTCCTCTGGTTTGCATTACCCTTTTATTTCTACGAACTATTTGAAAGATTCGTCAAATATCATTTTTACTGCAAGTTCGTGTGGCCCATGATGTCCGTGTCCTTATTCGTTGGCATCTTTACGCTCACTTTTATGTCGGTGGAGCGCTGCAGAGCGATACTTTTTCCATTCAGACCTCGTATCAAGAAAACAACAYTATTCTTAGCAATAATATGTATATGGACCGCGTCTATATTGTGCATTATCCCATTAATGATAGTTGTACTGCCTGAAGGGTTAATGTGTTTAGAACACTGGCCCAGCGAGTCACACCGAAAAGCTTACACTGCAGCTCTGTTTATTCTACAGTTTGCGGTTCCTATCTCAGTCATTGCTGTAGCTTATATTACTATTATTGTCAAGCTAATCAAAACGAAGGTGCCAAACAGGACATCAGTCAACCAAAGAGGACAACTCGTCAAGCAGAAGAAAAGAACTGAAAACATCCATGTCATTCGAACAGTGGCAATCATTGTGGTGTTGTTCGTTGCTTGTATGCTCCCTAACCAGATTGCTTGGATACTCATGGACTTTGGCGGCGAACAGCACAAAAATCTGTCTGAGAAGTTTTGGTTATTTGCTGAAGCATTAATGTTTCTACATAGCTGTGTAAACCCCATCATATATGGCACTCTAACGAGACAGTTTCGTGAGGGATACATTAAATACATCAACTTTGTTTGCTGTTGTGGAAGATCAGCTCAAAAGTCGATCGATTTGTCAGAACACAGACATTATCAGGATCGACAATCAAATACTTCTCGTCCTCAGGAGAGATTGACGTACAAAGGCTCCCTGAGGTCACCAAGTATCATCAAGAGTACTGCAAGTACACAGGCAGCTACAGGAATGTCTTTCTTGACGTTCCGAAGCAGTTCACCTAAGACTTCTCCATCTCCAAGCCTCATCCAACTCAGCCCTGTCTTAAACAATAACAAACACAGCTTACAAACGAACACAGTTGAGTTACATGGCAATAGTTTTCCCACTTCCGTACCCGTGCAATATCACGTCAGCCCTGGAGTAGCATCCTATAAAGATGGCACAACCCTGATCAACCAAGGTGTACTCATTACCACAGATAACTTACAGCATTTCACTGACTGCGCTACTAAACTAAACGCTGTTTATGAAACAGAAGATGGTTTTAACTTCGAGTCCAATTGCAGGAATGGAATGTTTGGAACTCAAACGAACCAGGAGCAATTCAAACCAGTGCAAGAAGACAATGACAAGACAAATAAGGCAATAGAACAGCACCTTCTGCGTGGCAAAACTAATTGTCTGACATTACAAAACGGGTTCGTTGTACCCGATAATCATATTAACTACAATGAATGCAATCATACAGATTACAGCGCGGGAAGATGCTTGGTAGCTGGGCCTTCAGTGAACTATGGTGTAATGAATGACGAGGAATGCAGTTTACAAGACACGCACTTGTAACGGATTTTAAACCGTGTATAAATAAATACTCAGTCCTGTGGCATACCATGTTAATCATGAACAATGGAGCCTTGTATACTTAGGCCTGAAGCAACAGAATGTTCAAAATAAACTGTCGAAGATGGTGGTTGTTGGAGATGATGAGCAACGTTTACCGAAGAACACAGACTTCTTTAAGGTTACATCATCAGACAGCCAGTCAGCAAGCAAAAAAAGGAAACCTTTTCCAACAATATATAATTTGTTTATTCGTGAAGTTAAAAGAATAAGGCTTATTTAGGGGGAAATATAACTACTCGGGAAGGAAACTGCAATTCCTTGTAAATATCTCTGAATATAATATTTATAAATATCTTATTAAAACTAATGAGGATTGAAGGTTATTCGAATCTATCACGTGGGTTAGCTTTTTTTTAGCTCAGGCAAAAAAATTTTTTGATCAAGGCCACTGTAATATTCAACTCTTAAAATAGCGGAGATATCTTTGTGAGAAAAAAATATTGCTAAGAAACCTGTTAAATTTAACGCTAAAAAATCAGCTTATCACAGGCCTACGAGTTGTGATTACTAATTCTTTTTCTTTTTTTTAATTGATTTAGATTAAGTTCTAGATTTTGAAGAAATAATCATTTAGCAAATGAATTAACACTAGATAAAACGGAAGGCAGCACTGTTGGTGGTGGTGTATGCCGGCGGTGTTACCAATGTTCCATTCAAGTAAGCTTTTCCATGTACAGTTTAAACCACCGGTGAGATCGACTATTGATTCTTCAATATACACTGAACACGTTTTTATCAGAGACTAAAAAATCTCAATCCAGAACACATTTATCTCGACATCTCCGACTTTCAGAAAAACTAACAATTCATCTTTTTATCTCCACAAGCAAAATTTGAAATTGTATGAAACTTGTATGGCTGACTATTGTAACTTTATCCGCGGCATTTTAAACCGGACGTGATAATCTGTATACTTTTAATGGATATTTCTCTGGCTTCTCTAATGTATCGAATTTCCGCTTTCAGAATATTTTCTATGATATTTTCATGGTTCTAAGCTTGTTTGGTGCAATCATTATAATGATATAAGTAGTCAGGTTTGATTTACATCATTGAATAGGATCTTAAATATAGTGTATCCGATGGGCCGGTAAATAGCACGTTGCTCCAGTATTGAAGAAGCAGGTCACGTGATCATATCCAATTGGCTAACATCGACTTGGTCTTCGCGTCAGTCCAAGTTAACCTTGATAAAGTCCTTTTCCTTCGTGGATCTTTTCGAGCTTTTTTCATTCCAAGAAAATGTGTTATAAGCAAACAAGCAATGCCCACAAGAACAATCCCCAACATAAGCCATCCTCCGATCTGCAATGAAAAGAACAAATTACCCAGCATGCTTTCATAGCGAGAACACGAAGAAGGGTACAGATTACSCAGCATGCAATGTCTTCTAGATCTCAATCAGATCAAAATTGTCATGTTCGGAAACGTAGCCTTCCGGCCTATTGTTTTATCATCCAATTTCTGAGATACGAAAACATGATATGCAAAACAAACGTTAAAGCTCGCAGGATGACGACGACTGCCTCCGGCTAAATTTGGTTCTTCCTTTTTACACTCAAGCCAATTCAACCCACATTAGCAAAATATACTCCAAATGTTTTATAGTGTCTTCTATTTTCAATTATTTTTAGTGTTTTGATATTTTGGCGAATGACCTCGGCTGTATGTCGTCACATATTGTAATTTTGAAACTCCAAACGGCTGGTACCATCCTATTTTATTTTATTTTTTTTTTAGAAACGTCAGTCTTTTTTAATGGTTTAAAAGACTCTTACAAAAATATTCCAAATCGTTCAATACCAAAAAATGATTTTCCCTTTACAAATTAGATATAGCGTCTTTGTATAAAAGGGCCGATTTAATGGATATTTTAACATTAAATTGGAAAAACATATTAATGACTCATTATGTTATTTATTTCAAGCGCAACCACACGAAATCAAACCATGTATGCCAGAAAACAAATTATTGATGTTGGGCTTTAGAAAACAGCGAGGTAAAATAAGGCAGGCAGGCATTGGAAAGGGAAATGAGGGAAATGACTCGGATGTAAGATTCGTTTTTAATTACATCTAGTGGGTTTGTATTCCTATGTAAATAAATCCAGCTAGACAATTAAGAATGAGCTGTATATATTTTGAAATAATTCCCATATAGCGTAGTGTGCCTTTACTATATTATCTATAATATTATAGTAAATTTACTTATGGTAGAAACAATTGAAAAATCCATTGAATATTACAATTGAGGTGTATATACTTACCCTGAGATAGAAGTACGACCAGCTTCCCACATACGTATTACACGAAGCACCATTAGACCGCAGACAGCCAGCTTTACGAGAAGGAGGAGTGGAAGCCTCGACAGAGATGTTTTTTGTGACTAGTGTTGAGGTCGATTCAGTCGGTTCATTACATAATGTTTGTCTTATCTTCGGGCTCATTGTCGATAATTGACCAACTTCACTCTTGCTAGAGATATTTCTAGTGACTGGTGTAATTGTCGGACTAGAGATAGTCCGTCCAAAATATATATTAATCAGAAATAGCAACACAAATAACCATTGACAATTACTACTGATAAAACAGTGCCTTTTGGCCATAATTCGTAGAATCTGATTACGAAAAAAGCGAGAATCGATCAAGGCCAGACGGATGAAAGAATGAATAAATGAGGTGGTAATAAATGTAGATCAGTCTCTAGTCATCATGTCCGATCTGTTAGTCACATGTATTATCATAATACTAAAGTCAGGAGCGTACTGAACTACTATGATACGTTATCTGTGGACATCTCGACTAAAAGTGCTCGACACTTGTCATTGGTTGACGGCCATTCAACGCAATACTGACCAATATCATGCTGAATCAGCTGTGGATCGGTTAATTATCTCAAGGAAAGTTCTACAAAAACACCATGTTATAGTGTTCCTCTAATGATTTTCATATTTGTCAGACTTAAAGATTGAATCACTAACTGTCATGCGAGAAACATGACGACTTTCATGAACAGACGAAAATAACTCTACATTTGACGTCAACTGTAGCAATGTTTTATTCATAATCGACTTAAATTAATCCTCATAAACACGGTGGACATCTATCTCACGTTCACGTTACCATGCCAACGCGAAACGGAAGGTTACTATGGAGACATAGAAATCTCTCGTTGGGCCAGGAAATTGAATTATTTAAAGAAGCGCGTAAGCAGTCGGAAAATTTAGCAGCTAGTAGCTGCTAGCTGTTAATTGATGTCTTTCACTTTTGAAGGAATTTAAGTCGGGATAAACTAGTGCGCATGCGTATAAACTAGTACGCATGTCTATAAACTAGTCGGCGCATGCGTCAAGGAACCACAGTTCAACGCATGCGTAAAGAGTCAATTCTTCGATACCACATACACATTGATGCTAATTTTTTAGTCATTTTAATTTTAAAAGCATAACAACATTTTTCTTTTAAAATTAAAATATCATTTGTGCATATTACAAAAATACCGCTTTAACCTGTATCAAACCATTGTCCAGTCTCTATTAGTCCAGAACTGGACCCACTTTTATCTGCGCGCGCGCGGTAAAAGTATGAGAAGAAGATCTGGATCGAGAGTCAACGGACGCGATAAAAGTGGGTCCAGGGAAAATTGTCTGCGCATGCGTCAGTCACATCCCGTTTTCGGGATGTGGGCATTGAGCAATATTTGACATACGCTATACCTATGCTTTTCGCGCGAAATAAAAATGGCGGGTGGCTGTTCTTTCTGGCGTCGAGAAATGTTCGAAAGATTTGGCAATGACTACTCTAATTCATTAATCGAAGCTGCTTGTGCATCGCTAGAGAAATGTAAATTAAACTTCCTTCTCAAGAAAGAACAGATGCAAGCCCTGCGCAGTTTTCTTAGTGGACAAGACGTGTTTGTAAATTTGCATACGGCTTACGGCAAATCGTTACGTTACTCACTTCTTCCTTACATTTGTGATTGTTGGCGGAAAACGCCTGGAAAAAGCTACATTATTCTTGTTTCACCATTAATATCGCTAATGGCTGACCAGGCAGATAAGTTTCGTGCTTGCGGAATGAATAACATAAAGTTAACAGCCGAGGATACGGTGGATTGTCTAAAGGAAAAGGCTGTAAACAACGTACAGGTATAATAAAAAATATGTCAGTCATGCACCGTGTGACATTAATTTGCTAGAATTTTAACTTCCAGGTTTAAGAAGACGTCTGGGTCAAAATTTACCATGTCTTACTGTCGAAGACTCGACTCCTTTCGCAAACTACAAAGGTCTTCGCATTGCTTATCAACAGATCTCATTAGGTTAGAAATCACTAAAGCGTTCAGTTCTTTATGCGGCAAAATATACTTGATAATCTCGTCTGTACTGCCATGGCTTGCTATCCGGACAATTTCTGATACATTTTCCGGTATTGTGTACGAGGTAAAACGAGCTATCTTTGTTTACAATCGAAAGCATAGTCCAAGCCGGCGATGCCGATATTGCAATTGGAGTCGCGATAGAGTTTTCGCGGTTTTTTCCCCGTCCATTGACATCTAGTAAAAATAAACAGATGATTTGGGGTTTTTTCTTTGAAATAATAGCGGAACTAAATTTTTTTACTGTAAAACTGTTTTTTTCTTCGTAGCTAGTAATGGTACATCCTCTGTCTCCCGAGATCTTTTTTCTCTGCCCTGGTTTTCCGTGTGTGCTTCATCGAATACAAGGCGTAATTCTTAAACTTTGCTGCACGGATGGTTATCAGTTTTCTCTTGCACGAGATACAGCAGAAGTAGAGTTTTTATGTTCAATATAATTTTTTATTTCAATCTCCAAAAAATTTGTTAAAATCTTTCCGATTGTAGTCACTTCTCCGCACCATACAACTGCGCGTTTTTCTCGGTGAGTCTTCAAAGAGCATATCAAATTATGTGAATTTTCGTCATCTCCCTCCATTTTCGTACCAAACTTTATTATGAATACGAAAGAAGAGTCATTTCGAAGCGATAAAAAAGACTCTTGAGTAAATTGCCACATCTCAAAAAGTTGAGAAGGGAGGACAAATGACAAAAGACAGAGATGAAGAGAGGGGTGGGTGGCGTTGTAAGTGCTTACGTGTGTGCATTTCTAATTGGATGTCTTTGCGCGTGCGCAGACATTCTTCTCTGGACCCACTTTTTACAATCACTTTTTTTTAGAATCAAAGCTCAGAGGATCATTGCGCGTGCAAAACAATAAACACAATTGTGAAAAGTGGGTCCAGCTCTTGACTACGTCTCTATTGAATTATCTGAGTAGCCAAACCTTATTTGTTGCTTTAGACTTACTAACAGACTAGCAGGTCATATTCTGGGTGTACTTCTCTCACTGATCTTTGTTGTCCGTGGTGTCTATCATCCTAGACTTACTAACAGACAAGCAGGCCATATTCTGAGTGTACCTCTTTTACTGATCTTTGTTGTCCATAGTGTCTATCATCCTAGACTTACTAACAGACTAGCAGGTCATATTCTGAGTGTACTTCTCTCACTGATCTTTGTTGTCCGTAGTGTCTATCATCCTAGACTTACTAACAGACTAGCAGGTCATACTCTGAGTGTACTTCTCTCACTGATCTTTGCTGTCCGTAGTGTCTATCATCCTAGACTTACTATCATTCTAGACTTACTAGCAGACTAGTAGGTCATATTCTAGGTTTACTTCTGTCACTGATATTTGTTGTCTTATTAAGTCGAGCTCCTTTTCGAATGTCCGACAGCAAGGATGCTCTGTTTGTCGTTAGAGGAGGCGCCCTGGAGGATACAGCACTATTCGAGAGGGGTGGTGGGGGAGGAGGAGCAAAAACAGGCGTAGGGGGTGGGCCTGAAAAAGCAGTGTTCGATTTGAAGGCCACAGGAGGAACGGGGATATCAACTGAGTGTTTCTTAGATTTTGATCTGAAATGAAAATAAACAAACTCAGTCTTCTCTTTATTGCTGGACATCTTATTCCAAATAGTGCACTTTACTTACTTAGTCCGTGTTCGTTCTCTCTTTGGTTCGTTAACGCTCTCGGCCCTGGATTTCTTTCTTACGCTTTTTCGGCGATGGCTGAAAATTACACGTGACTTACGTCATCTTATGTATCTGTACGTGACGTCGCCATGTCATAATTTTAGTGTCTGCTTTTGGCATGCTGAGGTGACGTCACGTGGACGCACTATGTGAACATCTTACGTGTCTGTGCATTTCACGCTGAGGTGACGTCACGTGGACGCACCATCTTGATCATCTTGTGAGTTTGTACTTTCATTATGGGTAGTGGTTTTATTCACCTTATGTGCTTTTCATGCTGAGATGACGCATTGTTAGTAGTATCTTGTATAGATAGTTTTCTTCCTGAAGTGACGTCATACAGACGTCCCACGTGATGATCTTTCTTGCTGTGTTGTCAGCAGTGGAGGTGCAATTATGTTTGTCAGGTTCAACTTTCTGTAATTACGACACAGACATGCATGATGGGATCCCTAACGTGTTTATTTATTATGTTTTCTTTAGTATGTTTATTTTGTTTATTTCCCTTGTTGTTTCTGGTTATTGAGGGTTATTTATTCATCTTATTCTCTACTCACTGCTCTACTTACCGCCTGGATGTTTCGCCTTCTTTGCGATACAGTTTTAGCATTGATTTGATGGATGAACTAAATTTGTTCTGTTGATATAATATTCATAATAAATGAATAACATATACAAACGACTCACTGCCAGGAGATACTAGCTTCTATCAACGTCCATGTTTTATCAATGTATATCGTTCATCAATAAAAGAAGTCATATACCTGATCATTTTTAATCTTGTTAAGATGAGAGACGTCAGCATCTCTGAAGAACGTATGATAAGCGATCTGTGTGGACATACATGTATAAATGAATATTTACCATGAAAAATTATGCCGTCAGTAATATCTAATGTTTACCATACCTCTTCTAAATAAGGAAAAGATCCACTCTCATTCGTGAAGATGAATCTAAGAACCTACAACAAATACAAAAATAGATTCTTACTACGTTGTATATTGACCAGTTTTAGTGGCTATAACCCTATGTATCCCTATTCTCAAAGGTAGTGATAATAATTCTCACCTCTACAGCTTGTTCTGAAGGACAAAATGCAAGTTGTTCTGCATCTGGTTCAGCAGTCTTTAGTTCACGTCCAGCAGACATCTCAAACAATAGATGCCCTGAAAAGAGATATTGATATGCTTCAGCTTAGCTTGGCGCACGTACAGTCAGTCATAAGTATCATGTAATTATAATAATGTCTCACCAAATGCTATCGTCTCAGTGGCATCCAAGTTTTTTTTAACAAGATTCTTGATTAATGTGTCCAGTCTTGCTTTGTGGCCAAGCAGAGTGCCCTCATAGCCAGATACCCTAGCAGGAACAAACAAAACAAACCTTAAATAAACAGCTTAAAACTGGACACACTGCATATTCTTTATTCGCTTACATCATGTTACAGTCCTACTCACTTGCAGACACCATTAACTAACAGTACATTCCCAGTATGTACATGTGTACACTGTGGTAAGCCTTTGTCTTGAAGATAAATCAAACCCTACAACAACAAAAAATACTACTGAAGATTGAACTACATGTACTTCTAAGCCAACACAAATATTTTAGCACTATCCAACAAGGTCTGCAGAGGGGTATGGGCAGGGAGCTATATATTAGCACTATCAAGCAGGGTCTGCATAGGGGTATGGGCAGGGAGCTATATATTAGTACTATCAAGCAGGGTCTACAGAGGGGTATGGGCAGGGGCTATATATTAGTACTATCAAGCAGGGTCTGCAGAGGGGTATGGGCAGGGAGCTATATATTAGTACTATCAAACAGGGTCTACAGAGGGGTATGGGCAGGGAGCTATATATCAGCACTATCAAGCAGGGTCTGCATAGGGGTATGGGCAGGGGGCTATATATTAGCACTATCAAGCAGG